AGGACCTCCAAATCAGGTTTCCTTTGGTGTTGAAGAAGAATTGATCCTGTCTGGGAAAAACGACCATAAACACTTTGCATCTCCAGGTCCCTGGAGGTGCTGTTTGTCTTTGCATTCTCCATTGCTTAATTGGGCTGTGACTTTTGCTGTTCTTCCATCCTGTTTGTGTGGGCTGAGAGCATCCTGCAGCAGGGATCAGCTGTTGCTGGGTGACTGCAGGGGCTGCAGCACGGTCCCTGTTGTGAGTGGAATATAGATGAAAAGGAGGGAGAGGAAATAATGCCCAGTGGCTTGCATACAAGGCTCAAAGGAGTGTTAATGTGTGCTGAGGTTTCATGTGGCCTTTGCAATGACCACAATATACTGATAACAATATACTGTGCTCAGCATGTCTGCAGGACAAGGCACTCATGTAACTCCTTATAAACTTCAGGCTGGCCAGATGTTCTTGTCAGGAGCACAAGTCCCCAAGAATAGGGATGGAGAATAGCTGCAGTTGGAATGGCCCCCTTGGAGGTCACCTGATAAATGTCCTTGTTCCGGAGGAGGCCAACTTCAAAGCACTGTCCTGAGACAATGCTTCTTTGTCTATCTGTTCCTACCCCCCACCAGTAACCTGTCTTCCCCTAAGCAGAATTTTTAGCCCTCTAGAATTACCTGCCTAAAAAGTACCAGACATATGGTACATCTACTTTGAAAGGAACAGAGGCACTCGTCTGTCGGCCTGACCCAGTCTCAAGGGAGGTGTGTTGCCTACCAGGGGCACAGATCAGGGATGTTGCAGAGAGGCTGCCTGCTCTAGTAAGGCCCACTGACTATTACCCACTTCTAGTGATCCATGTGGATGCTAGGGATATAGATAGCAGTAGCCTAGAGAACATAGAGAAGGACTACAGAGCCCTGGGAGAGGTGCTTAGGGGCTCTGGAGCTCAGGTTGTCTATTCATCAATTCTCCAGGATAAAGGGGAGGACCTTAAAAAGGTTAGGAAGATTGGCCAGGTTAATAAATGGTTAGAACGGTGGTGCCGTAATCAGGGGTTTGGGTATCTAGAACATGGCACTCAATTTAGGAGGCCAGGTCTACTGGGGCTGGTGGAGCTGGTTTTGGTAGGAGGCTTGCCAGACTGGTCAAGGAGGCTTTAAACTAAATCTGTTGGGGGAGGGGGGCATCATTCCATCCCAACACACCCAGTCAGTTGCCAGCACCTATAATAAATGCTTGGAGCAATGCAGAGATATTCCAGCTGCTCCAGCCAATGAACCGGCTTCATTTGGAGCTCGGCTCAGATGCCTCTATACAAACACCTGTAGCATGGGGAACAAACAAGAGGAATTAGAGGTGTGTGCTCATCTACGGGGGTATGATATAATAGGCATCACAGAAACATGGTGGGATGGCTCCTATGACTGCAGTGTTGGAATGGAAGGTTACAGGCTCTTTAGAAAAGACAGGGTTGGCAGGCGCAGAGGGGGAGTTGCCCTTTATGTTAGGGATAGGCTGGAGAGTGTGGAACTCTGTCTGGGGACAGTTAACAGCTGATCAGTTAACAGAGAGTTTGTGGGTCAGGGTTAAAGAGAGAACAGCGATGGGAGACATTACTGTGGGGATCTGTTATAGACCACCTGATCAAGAGGAATCTGTGGATGGAGCACTCTATAGACAGATAGGAACAGCCTCACGCTTGCAGGCCCTTGCTCTCATGGGTGACTTCAACCACCCTGACATCTGTTGGAGGGACGGTACGGCCCGGCACAAGCAATCCAGGAGGTTCCTTGATTGTGTGGAAGACAAATTCCTTCTGCAAGTAATAGAGGAGCCGACAAGGAGAGGTGCCATGCTTGACCTCGTGCTCACCAACAGGGAAGGGCTCATTGGAAATGTGACACTCCAGGGCAGCCTTGGATGCAGCGATCACGAGATGGTCGAATTTGAGATCCTTAGGACAGTGAGAAGAGCGTGCAGCAAGCTCACTGCCCGGCACTTCAAGAGAGCAGACTTTGGCCTCTTCAGGAACCTGCTTAGTAAGGTTCCATGGGATATAGCCCTAGAGGGCAGGGGGGCTCAAGCCTCTTGGTTGATATTCAAGGATCACCTGCTACAAGCTCAGGAGTGTTGTCTCCCAGCCAGAAGGAAGTGCAGCAGGAGGGCCAGGAGACCTCCTTGGATGGATTAGGAGCTGCTGAGGAAAATTCAAATGAAAAAAGAGTCTTACAGAAAGTGGAAGCAAGGACAGGCGGCCTGGGAAGAGTACAGGGATGTTGTCTGGGAAGCTAGGGACCAGGTTAGGAAAGCTAAGGCCCAGTTAGAATTAAACTTGGCTAGGGATGCTAAAGATAACAGGAAGGCATTCTATAGGTACATTACAAATAAAAGACAGACTAGGGACAATGTGGGCCCCCTCTGGAAGCTATCAGGAGAACTAGCTACCCTGGATTTGGAGAAGGCTGAGGTTCTGAATGACTTCTTTGCCTCAGTCTTCACTGGCAAATGCTCTGACCACATCACCCAAGTCTTGGAAAGCAGATGCAGGGACTGTGAGAATGAAGACCCTGGGCTCACTGTAGGAGAGGATCTGGTTCAAGACCATCTTAAGAACCTGAACATACACAAGTCCATGGGTCCTGATGAAATCCATCCATGGGTCCTGAAGGAGCTGGCGAATGAAGTTGCTAAGCCACTGTCCATCATATTTGAAAAATCATGGCAGTCAGGTGAAGTTCCTGACGATTGGGAAAAGGGAAATATAACCCCCATTTTCAAGAAGGGGAAAATGGATGACCCAGGGAATTACAGACCAGTCAGTCTCACCTCTGTGCCTGGCAAAATCTTGGAGCAGATTCTCCTGGAAGGCATGCTAAGGCACAGGAAAAATAACAAAGTGCTTGGTGACAGCCAGCATGGCTTCACTAAGGGGAAATCCTGCCTGACCAGTTTGGTGGCCTTCTATGATGGGGCTACAGAACTGATGGACAGGGGTAGAGCAGCTGATGTCATCTACCTGGACTTGTGCAAAGTGTTTGACACTGTCCGACACGACATCCTTGTCTCTAAATTGGAGAGATACCAATTTGATGGATGGACCACTCGGTGGATAAAGAACTGGCTGGATGGCCAAACACAAAGACTTGTGGTCAGTGGCTCGATGTCCAGCTGGAGACCAGTAATGAGTGGTGTCCCTCAGGGAGCGGTGTTGGGACTGGTCTTGTTCAACATCTTTGTTGGTGATACGGACAGTGGGATTGAGTGCGCCCTCAGCAAGTTTGCGGATGACACCAAGCTGTGTGGTTCCGTTGATACGCTGGAGGGAAGGAATGCCACCCAGAGGGACCTTGACACGCTTGTGAGGTGGGCTGATGCCAACCTCATGAAGTTTAACCATGCCAAGTGCAAGGCCCTACACCTGAGTCGGAGCAATCCCAGGCACAGCTACAGGTTGGGCAGAGAAGTGATTCAGAGCAGCCCTGCAGAGAAGGACTTGGGGGTGCTGGTCAATGAGAAAATGAACATGAACCGGCTTCAGTGTGCACTCGTAGCCCAGAAAGCCAACTGTATCCTGGGCTGCATCAAAAGGAGCGTGACCAGCAGGTTGAAGGAGGTGATCCTGGCCCTTTACTCTGCTCTCGTGAGACCTCACTTGGAGTATTGTGTGCAGTTCTGGTGTCCTCAACATAAAAAGGATATGGATCTGTTGGAACAAGTCCAGAGGAGGGCCATGAGGATGATCAGGGGACTGGAGCACCTCCTGTATGAAGACAGGCTGAGAAAGTTGGGGCTGTTCAGCCTGGAGAAGAGAAGGCTGCATGGAGACCTCATAGCAGCCTTCCGGTATCTGAAGGGGGCCTATAGGGATGCTGGGGAGGGACTCTTCATTAGGGACAGTAGTGATAGGACAAGGGGTATCGGGTTAAAACTTAAACAGGGGAAGTTTAGATTGGATATAAGGGAGAAGTTCTTTACTGTAAGGGTGGTGAGGCACTGGAATGGGTTGCCTAGGGAAGCTGTGAGTGCTCCATCCCTGGCAGTGTTCCAAGTCCAGGTGGACAGTGCCTTGGGTGACATGGTTTAGTGTGAGGTGTCCCTGCCTACAGCAGGGGGGTTGGAACTAGATGATCTTAAGGTCTTTTCCAACCCTAACTATTCTATGATTCTGTGATCCTAACTTGCAGCCTTTTCAGAAGAGACTTTAGGGACCCAACCTGGTTGCCGTTTTGAAAGCCCCCTAACAATCTATTAATGGACCACCACGAGAGCACCCCGAAGACGTCCCTGCTGTCCCACAGTGCCTCTCACCCTAGCGATGTGGTTGGCCTCACCACATTCATAGCTGTCCTCCTCTGAAGGCCACGCAGCTCTCCAGGCACCAGGAACAGCTGGCTAAAGGTGCTGGTGGGGGCTCCAAAGTACAGGAGCAGGCAGGCAGGAACACGTGGAGAAGAGACTATGGCCCTGATGTGTTTGTTAGTGTGTGATGTGCTCGTTCCCTCTCCTGTCCTTCTGGTGAGTGCAGTGGCTGTTTAGCACTGTCTTGGCACACAGGTCTGTGACATCCCCATGATTAATAGCCATGCTGGCTGCTGTATGGTGTTTCTTCCCAGGGATCTCAAGTGCTGCAGGTTTGGAGAGGATCCTCTCCTACTTAACGCATGGTAATAGGACAGGTTTTTGGAAACAAGCCACAGTCTTGGCCGTTAATAATGTTTGCTGCTATTGGGGACTGTAGCCTGTGGTATGAGCTCCTGGGAAAGTGAAGGGAAACCTGAAATTTAGGGTTTTGAGAAGCTGATTCTTCTGAAGACATCAAGATATCTTGGAAGGAGCATTTCTGCTCTGCTGGAAAGACTGGAGGTCCCATGTCCCCAGAGTCACACAGATTGTGATGCTGGAGGAGAAGGGAGGGCTTAGAGATGCTTTACACACAGTAGATATCTGGCAGTGGGGAGCAAAGCAGGCACAGCTCCAGCAACCCAGTTGTTAACATCATTATTGTTCTTATTCTCAGAAACTCATCCAAATGCTTTGGCTCCTTATTCCTGCCTGCTGACCACACCAGCGTGGCCATGACTCAACCAGCTTCCAGGACTGAGGGGCAGAGGTGTTGAAAGACCTTTCACAGGTATGATGGAGACAACCAAATAGCATGGGGTTTAATGGGGTGGGGAAAGGGAAGGAGTTACTGTGAGATTTCTCCAGCATTACCTACTGCCCTGTGTCCCATAGCCCCATCCTGGGAACAAGTAGGACTGGGGGAACTCCAAGGTCACCAGCCAGTCTGCTCCCCTCCCTGCCCTTAGTGAGCTCCTCAGACTTTGCTGGGGAACCTGGAAGAGCCCCTTTTCAAGCAGAAGCTTCTCCATCTGCACCACTGTCCCTGTCTTGCAGGGTGAGGCCAACGACACCACTGATGGAGAGCGTGTACTCAGTGGAGCCCGCACCTGAGGGTGCCAGCCCCACCTCGCTGGATGTGCTCAGCTTCCTGGATACGCTGGTGAACAGCACAGAGGAGCAATGCTTCAGTGCCCGCTCCCGCAGCACCGTCCTGGAAGGGCTGCCCTTTGGTGGTGTGCCCACCGTGCTCGCCATCAACTTCATCCTCTGGCTGGTGAGTGTGCCAGGAGGGTGCCACGTTATGGCACTACAGTCTGTGGTGTCAAAGACTGGCTGTGAGTATAGGGGGGATGTGTGTGTTATGGGCGCACTTGAAGCCACATACAAGAGCAGCCTGTGTATTAGTGCATCTGACTGACTGGGGGAACAGGGGTGTGTGCAGGGGACCAGGAGCTTTGCCCACATCCTGGTGAGCAGCAGGTGGCACTGGGGCAGCAGTCATGAGATCAGGGACAGGATCAGTTTGACTTGAGCTAAAAGTGTTGTACCAGCTTGCGCCCAGGAGTGAGAAAACAGAAAGGCGGGATGTGAGGAGAACCCAGCAGGTGAGACTTCACAGCAAAACCCTCCACCTCTCCTCTTCCATCTTCTTCCAGCTTCTCCTCCTGATCTTCTCCTGCCTTCGGAAAGCAGCTTGGGACTATGGGCGCCTGGCTCTGCTGATGGACAATGATAGGTGAGGAGGATGCAAGGCCACCACTGGTGATGTCTCTAGCCTTTCCAAGAGGGCTGGCACTGCAGGGTGGCCAATGGAGAAGCTCAGCAGGTGTTTCTATCCCTCCTTCCCACTGGGAATTGCCTGGCTGCTGTTGCCCAAGGAGGTACAGGCACTGTTTTCTGCAGGGAGAGGGAAAGCCTAGGCCAGCTTTGATTCCCTCTTGCAGGCATTGTCTGGTGACTGTGCTCTCGATGCCAGAGAGGGCACTGTCATGGGCAGGACAGACCCAAGAGCTGCTTTCGAGTGGGGACTGAGCTGCTGCCTCTCCCGCTGCTGCTCTCTCGGGATAAGCAGGGGTGGCCAGCCCGAGAGGCAGACCCAGTGCAGTAATACTGCTCCTCATGTCATAGGGCAGCTTGCCTGGCCCAGTCTTCAGGGTACGTGCAGAATTTCACCGAAAACAGTGATAATCTGGTGCAAGCAGAGCCCAGACCGATTTCCAGGCGCGTTGGGCTGCCCACAGCTGTCTGCCAGAGCACAGCTTGCCCCAGGCAGCAAAGCAGCTTTGCACAGGCGGGTGGTGTCTGCAACGCTGGGCAGCCCACAGGAGAAAACTCTGTAAAAGGCCTTTTCCTGCCTTCTCCTCTCTCCAGCTCTCTTTGGCCTCAGGCTCTGTAGCTGGGTCTGTCAATAGACAGACATGTTTCCATCCACCAGGGAGGTGAAAGGGGCAATCAAGACTTAAAATGCAAACTCAGATTACATTCCTTGTTACTGTAACACCATTTTGGAGGGCTGAAACTCGTGGAAGAGAAAAAATATGGTTCAGTAGCCACTTGTCCTTGACCTAAGTCATAGTCTTCATGGGCCACCCCATTGCGGGCCAGGGCCACAGAGAAGGTGCAGGGAATTGTCAGCATAGAGGCAGCAGGATGCAGCACCCACCCCAAGCCCAGTGGTGGTTGCTGGTACAGCCCCAGTGCAGGGTGCAGGGAGAGGGAAGGCGTTTCCTCAGCTGCTCCCTAGAAGTCTGTCCAAGAGCACTCATCCTCTCCTGTCTGCTGCTTCTTTCCTGCCTCACCTCTGTCCCCTTCTCCTCACTGCAGTCTGACATCACTTTTCTATGGAGAGCAGAGTGAGAAGGAAAAGTCCCCATCAGAGAGCAGCCCCCTGGACACCGACAACAAAGACATGGTAAGTGTTGGTGGCCGTGGCAATGGGAGCCCTGGCTGGGCTTGTCCCTGCCCAGCCCCCCCTGCTCTTCACCAGAAACCAGCTCAGAAGTTAAATGGGAGAAATTAAACACTCCAGCACAGGGTTTCCTGGTTAACACCTGTTAGCAGCAGTTTCTTTGCCCTGGCTTGTTTTGAGGCATCTACCTTGAACTGCAGCTAGGAGGGGATGCTCCTGCCGAGGCAAGCATCTGCTGGCTGCAGGGACCTAGTCAGATGCATGGCCAGAGCCTCTTTGTATGCCTGCAGGAACCTTTCTGGTCCAAACAGGTCAGAGTCCCCTGGATCACACCTCCACCTCTGCTAGTATCATCTTTTTAAGTCATCCTTTTTTTCTCTCTGCCACACCGTGCATGAACCAGGTTTTGCTGGAAACAGGCACAGACACATTTTGCTGTCTGTCTCTTTCTCTTTATTTTTTGGCAGCAGAAACTCAGAAATCAGTCACTATGTGTGACTATGAGAAGAATTACATGACTTACTAAAGAAAACTAGGCAGGAAAGGTAAAGAAGCAAAATCCTTGCAGGTGGCAGGAGTCCTGTTTAAAGGCTCTGTACTGGATACTCTGGGCAAATAAATATCGCTCATCAAACACTAAGGGAGAAAGACCACAGGGAAAGCCAGAACAGCTGAAGAGCAGATTGAGGGAGATTATTAGAAGCAGGAAGACATCCTTTTAAGAGCCAAGCTGTTCCCAAATGAGAAAAACCTAAATTTTGCCAGGTCAGATTTGAAATGCACTGAGGGATGAGAAGAACAGATTTGAGGAGAAATCTGTAGAGTGCATAAAAGCAAGTACTGGATTTTTTCTCATGAATGAAGAACAGGAAACCTGCCAGAGGGTTTGTAGGGCTGATTGATAGATGTTGAAGATAGAAAACGTTTGCTGGAGAAGGTGAGAATGTGGCGGAAAAGATTAGTAAATGTTTGGTCCCTGTATCCAGTGAGGAGGAGCTTGAACAAATTCCTGCCTGGGAGCCCTTCTCTGTGGGGAAGCACCAAAGCTACCCTCCAGCAGCAGGACTGGAGGACAAAGTTGCAGTAAAAGCAGCCTGACAAATTCTCACTACCATCACAAATTCCTGGTATCGGGCACAGGACTTCTCACTCCCCCTGAGACAGATAGCCAAGGGACTGACCGCAGTGTCCATCCTCTCTCCTGCACATGGGGATCCTAGAGAGATGGGAACCAGCTCATAAATGCTGGTTTTCAGGAAGGTTTCTGGAAATTCAAGAAATTACATTCCAGGAAAGTTGGGGTCTGCATGGACAGCCTCCAATACATGGTTCTGCAGAGCACAGCCCCAGAGTGGTGTGCAGGAGGGGAGTCAGTCTGGTTGTGCTGAGGGGGTGTTGGTTCCCCGTGGAGCTGTTGGGGGCACAGGGATGTCTGCACCTCCAAAGCCTCCAGCTGCAGTTAAGCAAACTAAGCTGAGCTGTGGGGTAGGAGGGAAGGTCGTGGCATGAGTAAAGGCAGGGGATGGAGAGGAGGAAGAAGCTGCCAGCTCTCACAGAGCAGGGTAAGAGAATTCTGCAGCAGGCTGCCTGGGGTCCCTCCTGTCCAAGGCCAGCATAAACCCTCCAGAACAGGGTGAAGAGGAGGTGCCAGATGGTTGTGTGTTATTCTGTACAGCCATAACTGCAAGGATAAGCCTCACTTGCATGAACTCTGCAACTTGCGTGAACTCCGGTGTAGGTAGAACGTAAAATAAGGCACAGGGGAGAAAACCCCTACTATCAGACATGCAATGACAGAGAATAGGCTATTTATTACACAAGATCTTGGTGCTCCTGTATCACTCTACAGCCGTGTGTCAGCTCAGCGCTCAGTAAGGGCCAAAAAAGCGCATTGCACGTCAGGAACTGCCAGGGAGGGGGGCAGAGGAGGATGTTTCTGGAAGCCAGGAGCCTGTGTTGCACTGGTGCCCCGTGTTTCCTGTGCCTCTCAAGGCAGCTGCCTTTGCTACCGCTGCAGATGAGCGACTGGGCTGAGCATCCCGGAGTTGGGGGCTGAGCCCCAGCGCCGCACCACCTCTGCATGTGTCCCCAGCATGTGTCAAGCCCTGGATCCTCACCAGTGACATTTTGGGATGGTCACCCCTGACTCATCCTCACTCTTTTTCCTTCCAGGGATTCTGCTCCTGGCTCCTTTCTATCTACCAGATGAAGTAAGTGTGTGTCCCTTGCATCACAGCCATGCCCCCACCACTAGTTGCCTGTGGGGAGCTAATGCCCAGAGGTGTTGGCCCACTACCTGCAGCTGCTGGGACCAGCAGCAGAGCAGAGCCCTCTTAAAACATCCTCTCCAGAGAGAGAGCAGAGAACTCACCTCTGTATTTCCTCCTGGCCCCTGGATCTTATCCCAGAGAAAAGGGCTTCGACCTCTTCTGGCAGGAGCTGGTCCTGTCATGGGGTGACAGCCCAAGGGCTGCTTGTGTCCCTCATCCACTCTGTGCCCAAATACCATGTGACACAGGCAGGATGCTATCGGTTGATGTGGGTTATGTGAGGCTGGAGCAGCCAGGGTCCTCAGGGTGGGAGGTGATGGGTAGGCACCACCAGTGCTCACCCCCATCTGCCTCTCCCCCAGGGACGAGGAGATTCAGAGCAAGTGTGGGATCGATGCCACCACCTACCTGTCCTTCCAGCGGCACCTCCTGGTCCTGCTGATGCTGGTCTGCGTGCTCTCTGTGGCTGTCATCCTGCCTGTCAACTTCTCAGGGGACCTCCTGGGTAGGTGCTTCCCCAGCTTCGGCATGGCTCAGGGCTGTGGTGCAGGCTCCCTAGCCTCAGGGTGAGCCCCGTGCTGCTGGGACAGAGGACAAAAGAGCCTCTCCATCAGGAGCCCCCATGTGAGCAGGAACGCACCATCAGCTGTCAGACAGAGGAATGTAAAAGGCAGGGAGCTCCAGGGCAGCAGGGGTTTGGTGGAGACCTTGGGAGGTGGAAAAGGAGGGAGCAAAGACCAGAGCCATTAACCATGCGAGCATGGGCATGCATGCCACACTGTTCCCTTAACATCCTGCTTCTCCTCTTCCCCTGCAGGACACAATCCCACCCACTTCGGCCGGACAACCATCGCCAACATCCCGACGCAGTACGTGGCTCCCATCTCCAGGGAGGGCTGTGGGTGCTGCCACTATGGTGGGCACTGCTCAGAGCACTGAGGCACAGTGCTGGTCACAGCCCCATGCCAGGGACAGAGACAGGTCCATGTGAGCAGCATGCTGCTTGCAGTAGCCTCCCTGTCTTTCTGCACCACATATGAACACAGTTCTGGTGGCCAGCATGCTGGCACTGCTAACTGCACCCTGCTGCCAGCAGAAATGCTCCTAGGGGTGCAGGACGGCCTCAGCTCTATAGTATTTCAGCCAACACCCTGACACTGCCCCTCTTGTCCTCAGGGTGAGGGTTCAGCAGCCAGCTCAGGGAGGTCCCACTGGGTGGCTGGGGTGGTCAAACATGAGACTCCGACTACCAGACTGGTCTGAATGCCACATGCCTGCCACAGTGCTCACTGATCTCCTCTTCCCCTCCTCCAGGGACCGTCTCCTGTGGCTGCACAGCATCTTTGCCCTCATCTATTTCATCCTCACAATCCTCTGCATGGCCCACCACTCTGTGCATCTTGAATACAGAGAGAATGAGAAGGTGAGCAACCGTCCCTCCTCCAGCTCTGCCTCGTTCAGTGCTAAGGGACAACTTTATGGGCTTTGTGGAAAGGATAGTCCCAGTCGGTAGGGAGAGCTTTAGAAAGTCTGGGCCGACAGGCAAAGAGATGGCTGATTTTCTTCAGCTTCTGGAGAAAACCTGGCCACCTGGTGGCAGGTATTTTTCCTTCTGCCTTGTCTCTTGAGATTGAAGTTCTGCTGTGTTTCTCTGGGAGGTGGCAGTGTCCAGCAATGTCCCCAGCTTCTGGGATGAGCACAGAATCACAGTATCATAGAATGGTTAGGTTTGGAAAGCACTCCAAGATCCTCTAGTTCCAACCCGCTGAGCACTGAAGAGGTCTGTGCTGACCTCCAGCGTGGCAGTTGGTGCCCCGGCTCACTTCTGCCTTCCCAGTGGCTGGGCGAGCAGGGTAGCAGTGAGATGCCCCACAGATCCCTTGCCCACCTGTCCCCTCTGCCCCCATTCCCCAGGTCGCCCGGACGCTGATGGTTACCCACATCCCCAAGGAGATCACGGACCCTTCCCTTATCATCAAGCATTTCCAGTGAGTAGTGGTGCACCCTTCTGGGTGGCTGGCAGGCAGGTGGCAAAGGCTGTCCCCGTCCCTAGCCCCTGCCTCTTTATGCGACTGTGTCTCTGTGCCCACAGTGAGGCTTATCCCAGCTGCACCGTCACCAATGTCCAGTTCTGCTTTGATGTGCGCAAGCTGATGAAGCTGGATGCAGAGAGGTGAGTGCTAGCAGGTCCCCATTGCCTCTGCAGGTGGGGGTGCTGCTCCTGCCCACCATGTTGAGGAGTGCAGTCTGCCTCCCTGTCTGCCACTTCCCAAATGACCCTTTCCCCTGTTGACTTCCTGGTAGGCGCAAGGCAATGAAGGGACGGCTTTACTTCACCACCAAGGCACAGAAAGAGGGGAAGATCATGATCAAAACCCACCCATGTGCCCGCATCTTCTGCTGCCACTTCTGTGGCTTTGAGCAGGTAGGAGGGTGTGAGCAGGGCTGTGGGCAGGCACAGGCAGGCTGCCACCACAGGCAAGACAGAGCATGCAGCCTGCCTGTGCCTCAGCCCAGCGAGTGCAGCAGAGGCCTGGCTGCTCCCACAGGTGGATGCTGAGCAGTACTATGGGGAGCTGGAGGAGAAGCTCACAGATGAGTTCAATGCTGAGCGCAACCGCATCACACTCAAGCGCCTTGACATGGCATTTGTCACCTTCCAGGACGAGCGGATGACGGCTGTGTGAGTACCCCTTGTGCGATGGCATGGGGATGTCCCTCTGCCCAGTGGCCACTGCTGCTGGGGGATCTGGGTCACCTTGCCCACTTACCCAGCCAAAGCCAGGCAGTGGGTCTGTCTCCTGGATGTCTCTCCCATCTGCAGAGATGGCTGCTCTTTTGGGGCTGGAGGAAGAGTCTTAGAAGAAGGGTCAGGGGTAGCCCTTTGTCTGGGCCTGACCCCTGGCTCCCTCCTCCTGCAGGATTTTGAAGGACTACAGCCACACTCGCTGCCGCAAGCACCCCCAGCAGTCCTCTGTCACCACCGTGGTCAAGTCACATCACTGGGGCATTTGCTATGCCCCTGCACCCAGCGATATCATCTGGTGAACCCCTGTGGTCGGATGGAGGGAGGGAAGGAGGGAGGGGGAGAGCAGTCGGGGGGAACTTGTGCCTGTACCTATAGGGAGCCCACATAGCTGTAGAGAAGCTGTTCCCATGTCTGTAGGGCACTTCCCCAGGATGGCAGGGGCTGATAGTCCCTCCTGTGATGACAGCAGAAGTCAGCAGGGGTGGCTGGGGTGATTACCTAACAGAGACCAGGGCTTGGTCAGGCAAGGTGTGGGGTGATTGCCAGGCTCTGGTTTCTCCAGCTTCACTTCAAAGCCTCCCGGTGGTACAGATTCCCCCTGTGGCCATTCTCTAGTCCTGGGGGCTCTGCAGATATCAGCACAGCAGCGCAGGATGGGTGAGCTCGGAGCAGTGGCTACCAGGATGGCTGGTGCAGGTAGTGGGAGGCAGAGGCTCAGGGAGCTGAGCTGAGATGCTCAGGATGCATGGCTTTTCCTCCACACCATGTCCTAGTCACGCTTTCCTCTCACAGGGAGAATTTATCAGTCCGTGGCACATCCTGGTGGGTGCGATTCATCCTCCTTAATATCTGCCTCTTCGTCCTTCTCTTCTTCCTCACCACGCCAGCCATCATTGTCAACACTATGGACATGTTCAATGTCACACACCCTGTGGAAAGCCTCAAGGTAGTACCTGGGGCCCCATGCCAGCTTTCCCAAAAGGTCTCCATTTCCATGCTTGTCCGTGATGGGGAGAGGGCATCTATGATGGCCCAAGAAAATGAGCTATCACTGGGATGAGCGGTGGTGAGGGGCAAGGCGTGACCATGCCCCTGCTTGCCGTCCACCCTCTTCTTGTGTTTCCAGTAGCAGAGCCCTGGGCATCTGTGCAAATTTGAGCTTTCTTAGTGGTGTCCATTGAAGAGGGCCGGTTGGTGTCCGTGTGAGAGGATAGGGGTGGGAAGAGCTCCAGGAGGTGTTAGGAGCTGCCAGCAGCACATCTCCTTCCTGCTCGTTGACCTCTGAGCTGCTGGACAGGCACTGGGGCTCAGAGCATGCCCATGGTGCCTTTGGCTGGCCTCAGCCTCTTATCTCCTGAAGCAAGTGTCCCTGATCAGAGAGGGGATGCCCCAGCCTGCCCCCTGCACACACCATGCTGTGCCAGGAGGCCTGGACAGCTGTCTCCAACACAACTGAGCTCTGGCAGGCTACTGAAGGGATATCCGGCACCTCTCCTCCTGCAGAACCCCATCATCACCCAGTTCTTCCCCACACTGCTGCTCTGGGCCTTCTCTGTCTTCTTGCCCTTCCTCGTCTACTACTCGGCATTCTTTGAGTCACACTGGACAAGGTAACAGGGCTGGCTCCCCCAGGGCTGCAGTAGATGCTCCCCACCAGCTGCTCTGCCACGGAGAAATGCAATGTTTTTGTCTTGCCTCCCCTCTCTGCAGGTCAAGTGAAAATCAGCTCACCATGCACAAGTGCTTCTTCTTCTTGGTGTTCATGGTCATCATCCTGCCCTCGCTGGGGCTGAGCAGGTACGGAGCACCCTCTGCACTGCTCTCCCTGCTCCCTGGCATGGACAGAAAGATTCCCTGCAGAGGAGGAGGGAAGGGGACGGCTGACCCTCGGGTGCTGGTGGAGCCCTGCTTGGGGTCAGCCCTACAGCAGACCCTGAAAGGATGAGGTCAGGTGTCTGCATAGCCCCAGCTATGGCACTCCTGACCATCCAGGAGGCAAGCACCCATGCTGTGGTGGTCGTGTGAGGCAGAAGGGGCTGTTCTGGCAGTGTAGGGTCCAAGGGGTCTCACCTACCAAGGGCAGGGCAAAGCACACACCCCCTGGGTGCCCCCCATGTCACTCTGCAGCTCCCCCTCTCTCTGAGCTGCTTCTCTTCTCCCTGCTCCAGCCTGGACCTTTTTTTCCGCTGGCTCTTCGACACCCACTTTCTGGACCAGGCTGATGTCAAGTTCCAGTGAGTAGCCAGGAGCTCCCAACCTCCTGGAGCACCTAGCAACCCAGCCCAGAGCGGCTCTCCTGGTGGCCTGCCCGCTCTCACCCTCTGCGCCCCTGGGGCAGGTGCGTGTTCCTCCCGGACAACGGCGCTTTCTTTGTCAACTACGTGGTCACCTCCAGCCTGATCGGGACAGCCATGGAGCTGCTGCGCATCCCAGGCCTCCTTGTCTACACCGCCCGCCTCTGCTTCGCCAAGTCTGAGCCCGAGCGGCTCCACATCAAGCGGGTACGTGGCCTTGCTCACCTCTGAGCCTGCACAACCCCAGGCACAGCAGGGACGCGCTAACTGGAAACTCAGGCTGCCTGGGTCCTATGAGGAGGCTTGTGGGGACTTCTGGCCTCACAGAGGCTAGCAGGGGAAGGCAATCTTGTTGGCTGGGATGCAAAGGCAATTGCAGCCTTTGCAGCAGCAGAGGCAGTAATGATGCTGTTGGTTGTGCCCCAGAGCCAAGCCTATCAGTTCCAGTTTGGACTGGAGTATGCCTGGACCTGCTGCATCTTCTCCGTTGTCATGACCTACAGCATCACCTGCCCCATCATTGTCCCCTTTGGTGAGTACGATCCATGGCCACTGGTCCTGCTGCCCCTGGCTGTGCAAACAGCCTGTCTCAGCCACCAGCAGTGGTGTGGGAGCACAAGCTTCCTGTATGGTACAGGAAGGCACCCTTGGGCATCATCCTCTGGGCCTGCTTTGCTGTCCCTGCGACCTTCCTGTCCACATTATCCTCCCCTCAAAGGCCCCTCTTCCTCCTGCCAGGGTTGCTCTACATGCTGCTCAAGCACATGGTTGATCGGTACAACATCTACTATGTGTACATCCCCACCAAGCTGAACCAGCGCCTCCACGTCGCCGCCATCAGCCAGGTCGTGGTGGCCCCCATCCTCTGCATGTTCTGGCTGCTCTTCTTCTCCGTCCTGCGCCTTGGTAGGGAGACTGGGACTGCCTCTGCCACTGCTGAGGGTCACATCTGATGCTTGGGCAAATGAGCCACTGGTGTCACCCCTGAGTTAGGCTTGACATGGAGGGTGGGAAGGGGGAAGATGTGATGGAGACCTGGCAGATGAGGGGAGTGTCAGATAGAGTTCTGGGAAGTGGGTTGAGAGCTTGTAACACCCAAAGCAAGCACCAGCGTGGGTCTCAGCTGGATGTGCAGCAGGTCCTTGGAGGTTCATGTGCTTCCTAGTGTCTCTGTGCTCTAGGTCCTACCCGCCCTGTCACCCTCTTCACCTTTGTGGTCCTCCTCTGCTGCATTGTCTTCTCCTTCTTTGGTCTCTGCCTGAAGAAGCTGCAGCCACGGAAACCCTCCAGCTACCAGGTGAGCACAGGCAGCCACCCATCCTGTTCCCTCACTCCTGCATCCCCTCCCTGCCTCCCTGGGCTGCGTTTGCCTTGGGGAGCCTGAGGAGGTGCCTTGTTGCCCCTCTGACTTCATCTGGGGACCCCCAGACCATCATTTTTTTCCTCCTGACCTCCCTCTCCCCAGCTGTCTGACCAGTCTGAGGGCGCCTTCAATGATGTGGAGCGGAGCAGCGTTTCCTCCACCCCCAACTCCAATGTAAGTATCCCTCCCCAGCCCCACCACAGTCACACCCTTTGCTCCTTGGGTCCTGACTCCCCACTGCCCCCTGGGGCAGCTCTTTGTGGCCACGGTCCTGCAGGAGCCTGAGCTGAGCCTGACACCAGCGGCCTCCCCGGCACACCAGTCCTACGGCACCATGGGGAACCACCTGGAGCCAGCAGAGGATGGGGAGGACGAGGCACTGCAGAGCTTCGAGACAGAGCTGGAGACAGTGGAGGGCGAGTACAGGAGTGGCCCTGTGATGGAGAGCCAGGCCCGCTACCAATGAGCATCCCCACTGGCGGGGCGAGGACCAGCCGTACCCAGAGCAGAGGAGAAGAGCGGAAGACGTGCCGGGGGCAGGAAGGCAGGGGCCTTCCCATCACTGGTGGGGTCCACCTCAGTGATGGGGTGGGGGGACAACAGGGCTGATGTGAGGGGGAGACCCCATTGTATGGGAGGTGGTGGGAAGCTCTGACAGTCCCTCCAGCTGCCTGGACTGGCTCAGTCCCTGCCCCTTGCTCCCCTGTCCCCACCTGCCTCTTTCAGCCCATCGTGGAGAAGATGTGGTGCAGTGGTATGGGGAGAAGTTGTTTCTGAGACGCTGTGCTTTTGGGGGCAGGAAGGAGGCCCTGGGCCCTCCATGAGAAGGAAGCAGCCCAGACAGCTGAGATGAATGTGCCTGCTACCACTCTATTCTGAAGGTCCCCGGTGGCAGGGGACAGCCACCCCTAACCCTTGCTTCACACCCTGCCTACCTGTTGCTCATGGTGGCCACCCGGCTGCCTCCCATGGTGCCGGCTGTGCAGGCGTCTGGCCACCCCTGCTGCTGCCCCCATGGCTTTGTCCATTAAAGCAGGGACTGCCGAGAACCCGTGTGCTTTGGTGTAGGAGATGAGTGCCCTGGGCTGTTCCCGCACTGGCTCTGCCCCAAGGCAGGCATCAAAACACAAGTCAAGCTCTTCCCTGGCCCCCCCACCGCATCCCTTCAGCCTGCTGCACCATGCCTGTGCTCTTGGGTCTTTGGGGAGGAATGGGAGGTCAAGGGTGTTTAATGGCTGTGAGGGCAGCTCCTCATCATCTCACTCACCCTGGCAGCATCCCTGTTGTGCTCATGCTCTCCCTGGGGCTGGCCACAGGATCCAGTGTGGCTCTGTCCTATTGCAACAGAAATGGGGGGGGAGGAAGGGGGCTGGAAGGATCCTGGCCTCTGGGTTCTGGTCCACTGCATCCTTGCCTTTGCCCACAAGCCACAGCCATGGGATTCCCCAGCAGCCACACCACCTCTGGAGTGAGTCCTGCACTGATTGTTGTAAATGTGCCAGCTTCTGCCCAGGCATCCTGGAGTGTTCCAGCTCATCCACAGCAGCTGGGGAGACCCCTGGGGACAACGGCAGATCCTTGCCCTGCTTGGCCCCTTTCCCACCAGGCTAGCCCACCATTACTGGTGCCGCTGAGAGTAGGGGGCATGGTGTGCCAGCCCAGCGGGGTTAAAGGCAGGTCAGCAGCAAGCTCTGGGTCACAGTTGGACTCAACTGGGCCCTGGGGCATTCCTGTGGGGCTGATGGGTCTCGGCTCAGCCAGCTGGCAGCCCCATGGGCCCCATCCCTCACTCCTGCATGCCAGGGCAGTGGCTATGACGTGGTAGTCACCAAGGGGGTGCCTCAGGGGACTCTAGAGCTCAGCCCCTCCCTCCCAACCCCAAAGAGCACCCTGTGGTCTCATGGCTCCCTGCCCAGGTGCCCCTGTAGGGGCTGCCTGCAACTGAGCCGCTGCCCTCACTGCCTGCTCTGGGAGATGCAGGGTGCTGGTGATTTCTCTCTGGATCAGAGCAAGTGCCTGTGAGTGGCACTGCACCCTTGGGAGCTCGGGCTGCTGCTCTGACTGCCCTTGGCTGCCCCACTGTAGGAATGTGCCAGAGGTCTGGACCTTCTTGTGATTTATTGCTATGACCGTGCCTTGAATAAAATGACTTCACCCAGTGGCTTGCCTGGCATTGTCACACCCCGGGCACCCTGTCCAGTGCCAGTAGATGGGGACCATGGCCACTGCACGCTGCAAAAGTACCCTGGACCCTTTTCCCACCTGTGAGCTGCTTTTGAGCTGTCCTTGGGACGTCCTGCAGATGCTTCAGTGTCAAGGACACCTCTTGTCACCTGCAGGCACTTGGCTGACCTCCATGGTCCCCAGAGATGCAAACCCTAGTGAATGGGCAGAAGCAGCAAGATCTGGGGAGTACCCTCCTTGTCCCCTTGGAAAGGCTGGCTCAGCCCTTGGCACCATCACAGACATGGGGCAGGTATGTGCCACCACTCCACAGGCAGGGCTGGCTCAGGACACCACCAGAGAGGTACACACTGCCTGGAGGGAGCTGGCCTGGAACTACTGCGGGATAACAGCAAGGAGCAGGAGGATCAATCCCATCTAGGAATGGAGCAGATGTTTCCAAAGCTGAACTGCCCACCAGCACATCCTGGGGAAGGGGGTGGACACCATTTTGGGACCCTTTCTCTAGGTTTTGAGCAGACAGCACCCCTCCTCTTCTCCTCCCTCCCAAAACACATTCTTTGTACCCAGATCCTTACTTGAATGCTTTGCCTCTGGTTTCAGCAGGTCCCTCCAGCTGGCTCCTCCACAGCTCCTCTGCGGTGAGCCCTGCCCAGCCAGCCTGCCTCATGGCTTCACTTCAGGTGAAAGACTGGGACATTCAAAACCCCACTCCCCTATTCACACACCCCCAAAGAAACACACACACCCCCCGGTTAATAATTAGGGGTAACAGGGCAGCATGCGGGGCCTTGCTGGTGCCTGGGAGCTCAGGCAGGAGCACTGCCTGTGAGCAATGGCTCTAATTGCCCCCTGGCTCGCACCCGTCCTAGCTCTCGCACCAGGGAAGCTCCTCACAGCCTAACAAGGTTGTGTATGCCCCATCATACCCCAGACCTCGGAAACCTGCTCACCTGAGTACAGCCTGTGCACACAGAAGTCCCTCACAGCCAGGGCAGGCAATCGCATGGCATCTCCCACTGCATCACCGGTAGCAGGCAGTGCCAGGGGCACTCCCACTGGGCAGAGCCATGGCAAACCTCACTGCTGGCACAGGGGGTTGAAGCTGGGGGTTCGGCACTGCCTATCTCTGCCATGCTGGGGTTCGGCTCTCAACACTCGCCCTGAGGGTGGCAGTTGTGCTCCAGGCCAGGAAGAGCTGGAACACTGATTTTAGCAATGAACCACAGGGAGGATTTCTGTTCTCTCAGATCTCTGCTGTTCTCCTTGCCCTTCCCAGCCAGCTGCCCATTTCCCTGCAGAAAGCCCCATCCTAAATGTTGCCCAGGGCAGAGCAGCAGTTTTCCCAGGAAGCTTACTGTCCTCTCCTGTGTTGGGGTTGGGGTTTCCAGGAGATGCTGTTTCAGACCTGAGCTGGCTTCTCTGCTCTAGGGACCATCCTTCTTCACTACCAAGTGCCCGACCCTCCTAGAGCTGGAAAGCCACCATGTCAAAGCTAGAACTTGCCCTCGGAAGGGGGAGACAGGACATCCTGTATCCCCACCATGGTCCCTCAGGCAGTCCCGCTGGCAGGGTGGGTGCTGCATGAAGCCAGTCAAGGCTTCCCTGCGAGGCTGTGCCCTGTTGCTGTGGTTACCTGCAGCAGTGGGTGACCAGCGGCAGGCGAGCCTATGCTGTCTCAAAGAATAACCAGCAGCTGAACAGCAGAAAAAGGATTTTTAAGCTGTTTGCTTAAAACTCTAATTCCATTAGAGGTCATGAAGTTTGAAGGGTAATGAGCAATCAGCAGCAGGATGCTTTTGCTAGCCCCTCCACTGCTCACCCATTCAATTAGAGTGCACAAAAGCCCCCAACAGACATTTGGTGCTGGGTGCCTTCTCATGTCAATCGAGCTGGGCTACACAAGCACTCCCAGTGACAAATATCTCCAAGGCTAGAGTCAACAAGAAAGCAGTAAACCCCTCTCGGTCATCCTTGGGTTTTTTGCTTGCTTGGGTCTTTTAAGTTAAAATAAACATAAGGCAGCAAAAAGGGCCAAGATTCACTGTTGTTCTTTATTAAACAGTACAGCTGGGTATCGGAGGCACACAGACTAGTTCAGTTCTCTTGGGAGTTACACGAGATGTGGTACGGAACAGAAGTCAAGGAGCTGGGAAAGCTAGAGGGAGCAGGGATGGTTTGGGGCAGTAACATCACAGCCCACCCATCACACAGCTGCCTACCTATCACACAGAGCCAGAAGGTTCTCCCCCGTCACACTGAAGGCTGTTGCCCCAGTACAGGATTACACAGAGGATATCCCTATTCCCAAACCCTCCTGCCCCATACTATTCTGTCACACCTAGTGCCTCCCCCCAGCCGCTGCTCTTCTGGAGGGTGTTGAACATAGGAGGAACACATCTCTAGAACAGAACCACCTCAGCCCTCAGTGCCATGCTCCTCCTGCCCTGAAGTAGCAGCAAAAATGGCACTGCCTGAACAGTAACCGAACACTTGATCCATGTCCTTGCCCTGGGGCAAGCAATGGCTGGAAACATGGTTCTGCCTGTCCCTCAGCTACTTCCCCACGAAGATGAACAATTCTTTAAAGTGCTCAAGTCCAGCTCTGCCCCCCCACACCCCAAGACCTCAGGTGCTGCTTTTCAGCTATTTTCTGTAATTTCTTCTGGCAGATGCTGTCTTTTCATTTCCATCCTGCTGCACACACCTAATTGGGTGCCTCCCTGTGCTCTGAATCAGTTGTGTCTGAAGTATGGCTGGTAGGGTTTACTAAAGGGCAAGGAGCTCCACAGATGGGCATTGTGTGCAGCTGGGAAGTGCTCCAGGTCCTGACAGTATCAATAGAGAAATTCCAGCTATGCTTCCTCTGGCTAAGAGTCAGGAATGATTTCTGGAAGCTGTTGCCGTGACATGATTACAACCTTCTTTTTATTTTAAGACATCTTTTCCTTGTATTTACTTTACTCTCCTTAACACAAAGCAGTGAACAGCCACTGCTGCTGCTGCATTTCAGCTGGCTCGGGGGTTAAACCAACCAGCCAAACCAACACAGAGCCTTTCAGCTGGCAGCCCAGGCCTGCTTAAAGCAGCCTCACCTTGGGATTAACATGTCTCTGCTGCCCAAAGCATCCCTAGGAAATACACTGAGTTGTGGCCAACCTGACACAAGGAAAAGCCACGGATCTCATCGAGGGGATAGGAAAAACAACAGATGATTAACTATCTGGTAGGGATGTGTTGCTGAAAGGAGAGGGAGAAAAAGTCCCCGCATGGTTTGGAGAGGATAGCCATATGGCATGGCCAGCTCCCACCTCTGCTGCCTCTGCCCCAGCAGGGAGCCAAATCCATCATTGCCATAGTTGAATGGGGTACAGCTGCACAGGAGGAGTGAACAGTCTTGAGCAAATAGGATCTTGGGCAAATAAGCCTGAGAGGCCTACGCTAGCTGTCATCTAACTAGGGTGGGCAGCAAGCAGAGGGAAGATAAGCTAGCTAAAAACCAGAGTAGGTACATGGGTGCTCCAGCCAGCCTGAAGGGACTTGGGACAGGGCAGCATACCTGTACTGTGGCGCTCCTAGGCTTCCCTGCAGAGACATACCCTGCCAGCCCTTAGCAAAGGCAGAGATGTGATTGTGTCAAAGCAAGGTGGAATCACTGGGAGAGCCCCAAACCATGCATGACTGGAGAAGATGACGCTGGGCTGGTGCACAGAGAAAGACAGAGGTGGAGAGAGGCAAAGAGCATGGTGCGAGTACTCCCCCTGCCCAGGACTGCTGCGTGGTCAGGGGTGGGGGTGCCTGTCAGGATCTAGTCACCTTCTGGGAGGGTGTCCCAGCCACGCCGCATGGCTTTCACCACAGCACCGTAGAGTTTGCTCCAGGCCTCCTGCACATCTGGGCTGAAGGCAGTGCCAAGGCATTTCTCCAGCATGTACAGCAAGGACTCACCAACAGTCTGCAAAACAAACAGGAAGTGTGAAGCTCAGCACCAGGGGACAATGAGCAGCCCCTTCTCTCACTTCACCGTCTTCTTGGACTTCTCCCACTGCAGGGCAGCTGCTCCTCCTACAACAGCGGGGCCAGGCCACACCACCCGCCTTCTACTACCCTGTGCTGGCCCTCACCCTGCACCCTGGGTGAGCAGGGGGTGCAGGCAGGGATCAAGGGCTGACCACGCTTGTAACACCAGGGGAGAAGCACACATCCACTGTCCCCAGATGCAGGTAGCCAGACCAATGCTCCGGCACAGCAGGGATCAGCAGAGCTGAGCAATGCACTGATGCCAGAGGAGTTGGTCAGACCCCAGGCTGGATGCTCAAGGTCTGCCTCACCACCTCTTAGGCTGCTCCACAGGGAGTTGTGAGCAACTCCATCCAAGAGCACTGGCACTGAGCACAGGACTGGTGGGAGTCACCACCTCAAGCAAAGGGGGCCCTGCTCCCCCTGAAGAGGGCCAAAGCTAGCAGTAACAGGAGAGAGCCATGGACTGGTTAGAAACCTTTCCTTCAACCTGCCCTTTTCTGCTGGGTTACCCAGCACTTCTGTCCATGCTTGATGGCAGGAGAGGAGTAAGCAAGGGTATAACATGGAGGATGATCCTGTCTTACTCCCATAGAGAAAACAGGGGCTGAGATGCAGGAACCCCACTCCAACACAGATACAGAGGGGGTTGGACGCTCCTTTTCCCAGGTGCAGTGAGGTTTGCCTAGAGCATGTGATGTAGAGATGCAGGACCCAGGGCAAAAGCTGATCCTGCAGTTCCCCAGATCATGGTCCTCTTCAAGCAGGGTGAATGCCTTGCTCCCGTTTGTCCATTATCCCTGGGCTTACTGGGGAGGGCAGAAAATGAGCGTAGCTAAAGGGCTTCCCTGATAGAGCCAACATCACTCTGCAGGTATCAGCAGCTTGGGGACTTCCCTGAGCCACCAGCTTTTTCTCCAGCCAGCTGAATACATGCAGTGGGTGCAGAGGGGTGGGGACAGCTGAGAGCTGCAGGCCGGGCTGCACACACACAGCCATAGTGGGATAAGAGAGGATGCCTCACCGAGAAAGACTCGACCTTCACACCGACTGCCTGGTGCTTCTTGCCGAGGTTGCAGAGGTACTCTTCCAGGCAGGACAAGTTCTCCAGGTGGCTCACAGCAGCGTCGATCACCAGCATCACCTGCAGGTGCACAAAAGCGAAACATCAACAGCATTAAGGCTTTAACAGCAAGTTTCTGCTGCCCTCCTAGAAGAACAGAGTCTGACCCCTCTACTTCCCCCTTCTCAGCATGACCACCTCCCAGGCCAGAAGATGCCCCCCGAGCTTTCCTTTGCTCTATTGCAATCCATGTGTAACACCAGTGAGACATGCTGGCGGCAGCACACACCACATCCTGCCAAAGGACACTGCCAGAGGTGTCATAGCAAGCAGCACTGCTGGCCTCCCTGTTCCAGAGGGGGTAAACAGCCCTACAGCAGAGCAGTTATAGGCTAAAACCTAATGCAGATGCAGTCATTACAGCTCTTAGGACCTCAAGACAGCTGCAGGGGAGCCCTAGAAGTTGCCAGGACTAGAATTTCCAACTGGATATTGCCAAGATAGTGCAGTTGTCAATAATGTAACTCTAATTCTAAGATCAGCCCAGGTATTTTGAGGAGATGGGATTGATAGTTCAGCCAAAAGACCTGGTCTGGTAAAGCATGTACCACAGTCATTTCCCAGAAGCATAAAGAGTCAAATGGAAACAGGAAGGAGAAGGGTTAATGAGGGATGAAGGGAACAGAATTAGAAAGAGATTAAAGCCAGGCATGGTTGGCTTGGCAAAGCCAAGAGGTGATAGAATTGTGCTCTATAATTTCAACTGTGAAATTATCTCCAACAAGAGCAAAGACCTATTTCAGCTCAAAACAGTAAAAACAGACTTAACTTTGCCAGTACACGGAGACTGGAAAATGACAAAAAGCTTGCAGCTATCAGAGGTGCATAGTCCTGAAACAGCCTCTTACAAGGAACAGATAGGCAAGTGAAGCACCAAACTGGTTTAGAGGTGGAGTTTTAAAGACAGCTTATAAACTCTTCTTGAGAGTGAAGGCTGTGGCTGCTCTCCAGGGCTCAGCAGAGGGTCTCTGCTGCACTGGGTGTAATTCTGCCCATGCATGAGCTCCTCCACGTGCCATCAGCATTGCTGCTCTCCCAGCAGCTATCCAAGAGATGCTGTAGGCCTTCTGGCTCTGCAGCCACACCGACAGCCTCTTCACACCAGTGGGTCCATGGGAGCTAGGCCCAATGCCCAGCTCTGCGCCACCTCCTGCCCAGCATGTGGTCAAGCAGAGGCTTCAGTCCTCGTCTGGACAGACGTGAGCTCACTGGGGCACTTCCGTGGTAGAAGAAGGGGGCTTCCAACTTTCACAAGAGGCAGTCCACTCTCAGATGAGGTCATGGAAATCAGCATGGTGCTTCTTACTCACCACAACCCACATCCTCATCCTGTCCCCACTGTGATAGGCCACTTTGGCCTGGCAATTATACCTTCTGCTAGCATGAGTAAGCCCCTGCAGTTACCACCTCAGGAGGAGACTTTCCATGTGTACCCCAGTCAGACACACCACAGTCCCAAACCATTGCCTAAGGGATTCCTCCTCCAAGGAGCCATGCCAGAGCCCCTCTCTCACCTTCCTGATGTGATCCAGGAACTCAGGGGCAGAGAGGCACTCCTGAGGGCTGGCAAACTGCTTGCAGTTGTACTGGAAAAGGGGCAACAGGTCAGGGTCCAAGTCAAACAACCTGCAACAGCAAGAGAAACCCCTATTGCCTCACTTCTTCAGCTTTAGAGTTGTGCTCACACCAGGAACAACCCCACCAGAAGCCCCCTCTGCCTCCCTTCCCACCTACTGCTCACTCCCCACCTGAAAAGGACATAGACGTTCTGAAGTCTTAGTTTGGAGCGATCCAGGTTACTTAGAGCCAAAAAAGTCTCGTTTTCCCTAGCCCACCGTCCCAGTTCTCAGATTATGTGTTTATGGCACTTGAGGAACAGTCCCAGCTCACTGGAGCTCCTCCCAGCCTGGCCCTTACCCCCAAAGTTTTGTTTGTTGTCCCAACAACTCCCATTCCTATTTCATGACCCCCTTGAGCCCCAAAGGTCCCAAATCTGGGAGGACCTGCAAGCTCCATCAGCCAGATTTCCTACTTGAGCAAGGGGGTGCATGTACAAACTCAGCTATCACCCCACTCTCCCACATCATCACCAGCTCCCAGTTTTTCCCCCTCATCTTCCCTGCCAGTGTATACCAGGCAGATATGGGTCTCGGAGCAGATGTAACAGGCTGATGCAGATGTAACAGGCTGATGCTTTCCATGGAGTCCAAAGGCAATTCAGGCAAGACAGTATCTCTTCTCCCCATCCTGCACATTAAACTACTGCGCCCCTACTCCCCCCCCCCCACTGAAACTCCCAAGAAGTAGTCTCTGCTCACAGCCCTGCTCTGTCAGGTTTGGCTCTCGCCTGCTATGTCCCCCTCCAGAAGCTGGTCCTCAGCTCTCTTTTTAAATGGCTTTTCATAGATTTATCCTTTTAATCTTCCCATAATCGAGACACTAATCTGCTTAGGGGAGGCAAGGAGTTGGGTTTCAGCCGCTCCCGGGCACACCATTCCCTCTGCCCCGAGACTAACTCCCTCCCAGCCGGCAGGCCAGTGCCTGGGGCAGTGTCTGGGCAGTGGGGGGTCCCTTCCACACGCTCCCCGGGGCTGGGGGCACAGGCAGCTGTCCAGGCAGCAGAAGTAACAGTGACAAGGCGGGCTGTCAGTGGGCAGAAACGCACAAAACCTGCCCCCTGCCCCTCTCCCTCCTTTTCCCCGGGACAAAGTTGTCTCCGCTTAGGGTGGGAACAGGACGGTGTCCCCCCGCCGCTGCCCCACAGCAGCCGCGGCTTCGCGGTGAGGGGTTGGATCCCCGCGCTGCTCCCCACGGACCAAGGAGGGGGCAGCAGGCGGGTAAGGCAGCCCGGCAGCCATCGCCGAGAAGCTTTCCTCTCCGAGAAGCGGAGCCCGTTCACCCCCCCTTGCCCCCGGATGGGTCCGGGGAACGGCCAGTGCCGGGGCGCCGGTGGCCGCATCCCCTCCCGGCGCTCACCTGGTGAAGAGAACGAGGCCGTGCTGCTCGGGGCTGCCGCTCACACGCTGCCAGCTCTCCCGGATCAGCGCTCGCTGCCTGCCAGACAGCGGCATCCCGCTCTCCATGGCAGGGGCGGGGGGACCTGCCCCTCGCTGCCCGAGGCGAGGCGCTGGCACCGGCACCGCTGGCACCGGCAACCGCCCGCCCCTCGCAGCCCCGGGGGGGCCCCGCCGTGCTCACCTGGGGGTCCCGCATCCGCGCTCCGCCCGCCGCCCCTGCCCTGCCCTGCCCTGCCCTGCCCCGGGCGGGCTGCCGACACCGCAGCTTCCCGGTGCCCCTCTCCTCCACCCGCGGCAACCTCATCGGCAAGGAAGAGCTCACTTTACATTTCCCACTCAGGGGAAGGAAGGAAGGAAGGGGAATGAAGGGAAGGAAAAAGGAAAATTACAATCCCCAACCAGCCCCGGGCTCGCAGCTGAGGAGCAGAAAGTTCAGCTCGTTCGTGGTTGATATTTTCTGATCAGCCTGCTTTTACACGAAGAGCAGTGCTAGCAAGGGGACCACTGGGACACGGCTGCTTTCATTCGTCGTTCAGAACAGCTCCAAGTGTAACTTTGTGGTGGAGGTCCTCGGTGATGCTTCAGCATTACAGCAGCCGTGCTCTTGGCCACTTCCACCTCAGCACGCACCACAGCCACCTGCTATCTCCACAGATGCAGTCTAGACGCTGGAAGATACATGTTTAAGGCAAATTAAACCAGCCGAAGCAAGCAAAGATGTTAACAATAAATCAGAAGACATGTCAAACATCTTCAGGACACCCAGCTTCTCTCTATTGTTCAGAGAAAAGGCAACACTGCTTTTGTTGGGCCCTGGAATTTGGGCAGCATGGGCAGCAAAAGTGAGAAGGGGCAAGCAAGGTCTTAAGCAGCGCAACAGAAGCCAGGAAAGCCAGAGCAGCCATGCACATTGAGGTTTTCAGAAGGATGTGAGCAACACAGAAGCACAGATATTACTGAAACCATCACAGTCTGCTCTGAAGTAACAATTGCACTGATCTTATTACAAGTTCTGGTTCTAGAAATCACACTTCTTTCTTGTAATCAGGAGAGAAGCCAGCAGCCTCTGCCCCAACCCAGCGTACAATGGAGGCTCTTCTCCCTGGAGGACTGAAAATAACCTCTGAGAGGGGGCAAGTTCAAACGCACAATGCTACATCCTCAGCCCCCAGCCCCAGCTTGTCTCCCAGAGGCCCTTCTGAAGAGCCGCGCTGACTGCAGCGACAGCCAGAAGCCACAGGAGACATCTCTGCAAGTGCCAGAATTAATTACCTGTTTTCTTGGGTTTGGAGACCTCCCGTTCCCAGTACAGACCAGACAAGACGCTGTATAGGAGAAGCTCTGTGTACACTGCAAGCTGGAAAACCGTGTCCCAAAGCTGGGCTCTTGAAAAGTCCAAATTCACAAAGGAATTGAACTGTCAGATGGGACTACGGAGTCCCACAAATACAGATCTCGGGCTACTGAGCCAGAAAACAAATTATGTTCCAGGGATACTGTGTTTTGAATGTCACTGTGAGAAAAGACTTAATTAATGGCAAAGGTCCTAGGTCCTGGAGAGGTGCAAATGGCTTATGTTAAATCATGGCTCCTGTTAAAATACAGCATTTTAGCTTTCATGACAACTAAGAAGAAAAGCCTGAAAAGCGTGATCTCTACACACCTGTCTTCTTAGAGAACAGAGGATAAATAGAAAGCATTTCATAATAAAGAACAGGCACAAGCTGCAGGGTCATTTCATGGCTGGAGGGTCAGAACAGGCAACCCGCCAGCCCGCAGTGCTTCCTGCTGTGGCCACCATCTTCTGGACCACAAGAAGCTCAAACTAAACGCAGCATTTTAGCTGTGTGTTTGCAAAGGAGACATTCACACTGGGAACTGATGATAAATCAGTGTGCTGGTAACTGCTGAAGCTGCAAGGAGCCTGAAGGAGCAGTGGGAAATTGAAGGTTAATCTGATCGGAGTGGCAAACACAGCAGAGAGAATGAACTGTCATCCTACATGCATCTGCACAAGCTGCTCTGACATTGTCATCAGCCACACAGATGCGAAGCTTCACCAGAGCTCATCTGGACAATTCAGCCTGGCCCTGCCCACAAAGAGGGGGGGCAGACAGGCGGGCAGCACTGTGCTGTCAGGGTGCTGGGAAGGAGAGTGGAGAGTCTCCCCTAGACCACAGGATACCAAGGAGCAGAGTTGAAGCACAGATGTGCAATCAGAGCAGCAACCAAGGCTGAGTGTTTGCCTAGCAACATTCTGAATGCATAGAGAGCTAGCTGATAGAGGAGCAAAAGAAGCGCTACAAAAGCAAGTTGTAAATAAGAGTGATCAGCTCCTAAAGCTTAGCTGGGATGCATGACACCTTTCCTTGGGTCCGTGCAGGTACCTTACCAGCTATCATATCCCAGGGAAACAAGAAGATACAGGTTCAGCTAATGGCAAGGGTATCTCAGACAGTAACAGTGAAGCCATGACGGCATGGAAAAATGGTGGCTCTTGTCCAAAGTCTTCCCCCTTGCACTTTCCCTCTGTGCTGCAGATGGTGGCTGCATGCTGAGCACTTGCAGACAAGGCACAAGTGTCAGAACAGAACAGACATAATGGCAGCAATGAGGGTGACGCATGTGATGTGTCACCTTCTTCTGTGGAACATATGGGTGCCCCAGGTGATGAAAGGGGCAGTGGACAGGCCATACCCTTGCCTACCTGATGGTACCCAAACCCCATGTTGGTATGACACTTAGCAGTCTAAAAGCCAAAGAGACTTAATTCCTTCCCCACCCCCTAGCAACAGCTCCTTCTGGGCAGGGTATGGGTACATTCAGAAGCAGTTTCCCCACCCCTCTGAACAGTGGAACCACTCCATTGCTGCCTTCTAGCACTGGTACATGCCCTCTCCCTTAACCAGTATTTTTTTCCCTGTGACAGCGTAGATCTTCCAGCACAGGAGGAGAGAGCTGTAAGGAGGGACTTGAGGTGGGAGACAGGGAGAACTCAGGGGTAAGAAACATCTGAGCCACCATTCCTTTCACATGACTTAAAAGACCAAGTGCTCAGGAGACACAATGCTCTTCCCTGCCTGCAAAGCAGCTTCTCCCTTGCAGCTACCTGGCTGTCAGATGAGTTTCTCCTGCTGCCACAGCACTGAGGTGCTGACAGCACAAGTGAAGTTCAGAGAGGATTTAAAGTACAAGGAAAAACAAACAAGCCAACCTCCCCTGTTGAAGTGTTCCGTGCGCCTTCAAGTGTGAGGAAGCCCCAGGATGCAGCAAGAGATTAAGCACGGCAAATGTCTCCATGGCATGAGGGTTTCCCGGGATGGTTCCCAGCTCCCTTGGCTCTATCTCTGTGGCCTGGCAGCTCAGCTCTTTTATGAGATGTTTTGGATTTCTACAAGACTGTTCCTGGAGCTCTCATGAGTGAAGAAACACAAGGGCAGCAGCAGAGGCTGCTCCAAAATCATCTGTAGGCCACATGGAGAAAGGGGAGGCAGATTTCTGGAGAAACTCACTGACCTGCAAAGAAGAAAATAAAGCTCTGCTGTGCTTTGGAAGAACACAGATTTATGATGTTTTTAATTTGAAGTGGGTGTCACTGTAATCTACAGCCCCTTCAAGTTATATTACCAACACTCATAACTCCCCTCGCCAAGTGTCAGCTTTACTTGTTCAATGCCTTAGTTTACCCACGGGAAAAGAAACTTGCCCAATCTCATAAAACAGTGTGACAGAACTGAGAATAAGCTCCAAAAGCCAGCCCCCAACCCTGTGCTCAGGGTTCAGAGTGCATGGGGAATGACTCTTCCTCCCCAAGGACACCCCACCAGCCTGGCCCAGACTGTGTTTTGCACATGCTGCTGTGGCACTGTCAGGATTTATCCCAGCTGCTGCACCAATAAACCCAAATCCCCTTTGGAATCCTAATTTCCAATTCTACATCTGTGAGTCTTCATGAATAATGCCACTCTGATCTAGCTGCTACAGGCTCCCTGATTACCTCGGGTACAGACTCCTGGGCTTGGCTAATCCCCTTTCTTTCCTCCTGCCACCATCTCAAAACCACAGACTATGATGGCTCTTTTCCCCAGACACCCATCCCCATCCTCAGGTGGGAGCAGAAGTTGTTCCCAGCTGTCTTCTCAAGCTACCACCTCAGGCCATGGTGTATGCAGCACAGCTCAGTAGCAAAGCAAATAGCAAAACACAGTTGCATAACAAGAAGCAAAAGAAATGCATGAGGGAATAATATGCTCATAAAATGATGAAGGCAACTACTGCAGAGCTCACTGGCAGCCACCATGCCTGTGGTGAGAGCAGGACAGCATTACTGAACTTGAGAATTTGGGCTAAGGGGAGGAGGATAGGCAGAGGTAGGAGAAACAGTGAAGACACAGCTTTTGACTTTAATTTGCTATTTGACATTTCCTAGGTTCCTCTTGAATCTCCCAGGGCCAGCTGGGGCAAGCTCATACAGGAGGTGCAAACACTCCAAGGCTGACAGGTCATAAAGTGGGGAGAGAAGCCAAACGGGACCACTCAGAGAGCTGCTAGCCTGAGTATTGTTAACTTAGGAGGCTGTTGGACCAGGTCTGGCATTTGCAGATGCTCAGACCTTAACCTCGGTTGTTATTCACCTTGTGATCTCTAGCACAGTGGTGATCCACCAGTTCCTATTCCCACCAGGCTGATCTTTCAAGAAGAAACCTCTGCCTTTTGTAAGTCACTCTACCAAAGGGAGTTTAAAATGTCTATCTACCATGTCAGGTTTGACACACAAGCTGAATTTGATTGTAAGACACCACTATAGCTGTGTGCATACTCCAAGCTGGTGGATACAAGCAGCTGTGGTCCCAAAGCTCTTCAGCCTCATTAGATGAACACAGTGCTCTAGCTAATAAGCCTGGCAACTTGGCAAGCAGTGTGTTACCAGAATTATCTGGGTTTTGTCCTACCTAGGCATGGTGCACATGGGCTTGGATCTTCCTCCAATTGTCCTAATACTTCTGGACTGGATCATTCTTCAGCTGCTGGAACACTTAGATGCTTTACTCTCTCTGAAGCCTCCTCTGTAGTTTCCAGTGTGGATTTATCTTGTTTCAGAAGTCCTGCTGGTGTTCATCTCTGAAGTGATCATTGATTGTCTTCTCTTTGATCTCACCTCTGTCTGGAA